TGGTGGTAGATTTGGGAAATCTCCATGCCAAATTTGCCACAAATCTGGTTATGACGCGTCTGTATGCTACCACAGGTATACTTATCCTGGAACTCCCTCGTTCAACACTCCCAGAGCTGTATTCAATCCTTATTTCGTGGCACCTCGTGCTCCTACCTATAGTGTGTATGGCTATGCTCCTCCTCGTGCTACACCACCACCATGACAACCTGTTCCTCAAGCTTTTCCGGCAGGTTCTGATCTTAATTTCAGTAATCAGTGGTGGTACCCTGACTCTGGCGTATCTCATCATGTGACACCTGATGCTTCGGTTTTGTCTGATGCTTCATCTCTGAATGGTACTGAACAAGTGTACATGGGTAATGGCCAAGGTTTGTTAATTAACTCGGTAGGTTCTATGCCTTTTCCCTCACTAACACAGTCAAATTCCACTCTTATTCTAAATAAACTTCTTCTTGTACCTCATATCACTAAGAATCTCCTAAGTATCAATAAGTTTGCTCAAGATAATCGTGTTTTCTTTGAATTCCATCCTCAGTTTTGTTCTGTCAAATTGTTGGATTCTTTTGAGATTCTTCTTCAACGACAGAATAATCAACAATCAAAAGCAACAAATGTTCATCCCCCGAGTGTTACATATCAGAGCAATGACACCGACTCGAACTATTGAAGGTAGACAACCTTCACTCTCGATCACCTGCATGTTACCAACATAAGAGCAACATTCAAACAGAAGGGATGAGATATATAATAATTTAGTAAAGCATATAATAATTAATATATTAAATTAGATCACATAACATCACCACTTCTCATCTCATAATCAACAATAATCACAACAATAATACAAAATCACCACATCAATACACACTTCTTTATGCAATCATATAATGCGACTCAATACTTATGCAAATGCATGTGGTACCATTGGAGCAAAACTCCCATCTCAAAAATTGACAATTAATAGAGGCATCAACAAGGCATAAGCCTTCATCTCAATATTCTCCAATACAGGCCATCTCAATGAGCATAAGCTCCATCTCAAAATGCAATGTATGCAACACAATCATGAATGTAATAACAACACCACAATTGACAACATCTCAATACAACATAATCGTTGGCCAAAAGCCTACATCTTAACAGCATCTTAACATCTCTTCATCCACATCGTTTATCATCATAAATCATAAAACATCATTTATACATCATAATTCATTAAAACAAACTCTCATTAACATCATCTCATCAACAACTCAGCCGTACAATAATACAACAGCATTCATCAATTTCACAACGTTGGCCATAGGCCTATACAAGATATTGCCTATAATTAATTAACCAACTACGGCTTACTTCTAAATCACCAAATCTCTACATACTACTATTCTGTAATATTACATCGTTATTATTATTAATCCTACTGTTACAAATCAAACAGCAGCCTATGAGCATCTCATCTTCATCATTCTGCATAAAAACCAACATAGCGGTCTACACGGTCACTAATTCAAATCTTATGGTTATCTTTCATATTACTTATTTTCATCCTTGAGAATAAAGCTCATCGCGTTAGGTATTCAACGCTTCGAACGACACCTCAAACGGAGTCCGAAAACTCAAGTTGCAATCTTCTCAAACTGATTCTGCCAAAAACCAGGCAACATGGATTGACACATGGCTCCTTGGATTGACGCGTACTGCACTGAACTCGCAACATGAGTCGACACATCCTCTCTTGTATCGACTCATCCCGAGTCTAACACACAACATGTATCGACACATGCCCCTACGCATCGACTCATCCTGAGTCTGAAAGCCCTCATGGATCGACGCAAGACTCCTTTGTGTCGACTCATCCTGAGTCTCTAAACCTTCTTGTATCGACACATCATGTTTGGGGTCGACGCATACTGCTTTATCCTGCATAATTTCTGCGATTTTCTCCGTGTTTTCACTACGAGTTCCATACTTTAAGCCCTAAAAACTTAATCTAATTGTGGATAATCATCAGTTACAGTTATCCTATAATTTTACATCAATTACACAACATTGGAACGTCATCATTCATCTATAATTCATCAATTTCACCATACAACATCATATACATTCAATTCATGAACAAGACAACAATCATCTCTAACCCCACATACCAATTATCATGAACTCAATTATAGAGTCAGAACCCACCCTTACCTTGGATTGAAGGTCGCTCTATAACTTCCGGTTGGATCCTTGTTCTGCCGTTTTTCCTCTTTTTCCAACAGCTTCACGTTCTTCTTTCCAACCCTTATTCCTCTACTCTTCTTCTTTTCTATTCTTTCTAACAATAGTAAAATAACCTATCATTCTTTATTCCTTATTGGGCTTAAAACTAACACACCCCCTTATTACTTCTATTCCTTTAAAACAAGTCCACATCAAAATAATATCATTCTTCTAATATTATTTCTCCACTTAATAAAATAATTAAATCTAATTAATCGCAAAACATCTTCACAAACATTCCAATAATAATTTAATTAAATAATTAATTAAATTACGGGCGTTACACTATGCACTGTTAAAACTTACAAAAATTCACGCCCGTCTCGTTAATACTTGCTTCTGAAAAAAATAGAAGAAATAAACATAATAGAGAGTGCGAGCCTAAAACCTAGATTTGCTCCGTAAAATAATACCGACAAAATAAACATATTCGACAAGGTCGGACCCATTTTACCACCAATAACAATTTGTATCACTAATTATTTAAATATTACTTACTTATTATTATTTTAAAATGATATTGAAAAATACTCAAGTTATCTCAACCTACGTTTTTGTTGTTGTTAGTTTTATTTTTTAAATTATATTATGAGTTTGTTTCAATAATATATAATTATATAATTGATAAATATTTGATTACAAATATGCAATATTTTCTCTTCTATGAAGTCCTTTCTCCTCTGAAGTCTATATTTCTGGTTCAACAACTACATTCAACATGATTTTGTTATGTGTAATTATTAATAAACGGTTATACAATCTCCAACTTCTATTTGCTTTTTTTTTTAGTATCTTAAATTATTTTCAAATTTTAATGTATTATGAAAATGGTCTAATCTATAAATTATTATAAATATATTTGTTAATAATTGTTATCCATCGATATATACTTCTGAATTAATAACTAACATCCACAAATATAAATAGAAAATAATTATTTTCAACTAATAAAATCTCCATCTTCTATTTGCTTTTTTATTTAATATCTTCAAATATTTTCAAATTTTGATGTATTTTAAAAATGGTCTAATCTGTAAATTATTATATTTGTTAATAATTATTATCCACTTATATATACTTCTAGTTAATATCCACAAATATAAGTAAAAAATAAAAAATTTCAACTAATAAAAATATTTAATTATTATTTATTATTATTATTATTATTATTATTATTATTATAATATTATTATTAATAATTTTATTAGTTATATTACATGTTTATTTTGTTACTTTACTGATCAAATATTTCAAAAAAATTACAATTTTGTTTTTACTTTTTAAAAATAATTTATAATTATTTGAGAATTATTTTTGAAGTAAACTCACATCTTGTTTTTCTAACAAAAAATGAGTATTAGAAAGAGTATTAACAATAAAGTATTTTTAGTTTAAAAAAAAATAAATTTAAATTCATATTCTACAAAACAATTTATACTGATATTTAATAATAAGTCATGATATTATTAGATAAATTCATTTTATAATAATTTAAAAATAAAACTCTAAATTTTGTTTTGGTTTAACTATATTTTTAGTAATAAAAGAACATTTTTTATTTATTATTTTGAATTGCAATCATAGTTTTATTCCACTTTATTTTGTTTAATTCTATATAAAAATTTAATCTATATCGAAAGTAAACCACATAATATATATATTATTTAACTTCTCATAGAATTTAAGAGATTAACATTACCAATTAAAAATAATTTCAACAGCCCATTATTTAAAAAAAAAAACAAAAATATTCATCTATATCATTATCAGATTCATATCCCATACAAATTTCATATCTTATATTCTATAAAAAATATATATATATAATATTTAATATACAGATTTTAATAATATGACATTAATTCTAAAAAAAAAGGTAATATATTGATATTGTAAAATATTTTCTTGAACCGCTTTCTAAGAGGAAGATTGTTAGGGATTTGATTATTGATATGCTTTTCGGATCGTAGAAATTGGGAATTTTTCGGATCATTAGACTCTTCTTTTATGGATCAATTCACTTATCAAGAATTTTTTGATATGATTCTTCATTGGATTATCAAGATATTCGTTTCTGTTTTGCAGCGAGTCGGGATTCTTGATGTAATGGATAAGAACAGAGAACGGTTAGAGAAATCAAATTTCATGGCTTGATGTTAGGGTTTGCTAATTCTCTTTTCTTAATGGATTTGTTTCGTTTTCTTAGATTGCTGGTTTTTTAATAGATTTGCGTTGCATCTTGATACGTTATCTGGATTCTGATACGTTTTCTAAATGGATACATTTTCTCAGACTGCAGACCGTGTTCTTCTTAGATGGCTGATCGTGTTTTCTTAATGGATTTGCGTTGCTTCTTGGTACGTTTTCTCAGATCGATTTCATGCACAAATTGCTAAACAGAATTGTGGAGTATATCTCTTCTTGCTACCTTCTCTATATTTCATCAATTTGTGGCCGTGTTTGATTTGATGATCTACATCTAAAGATAGTCATTCTTGTACTCTTTTACTGTATGTTTCTAATATTTATTATGTACAGGAATATGAATTCGTCTCCTCTAAGATTTTCATCAGGCACCACAATTCATTATTGGAGCTATCATGTTCTGCAGACTGTAAGATATTTTTTAAGGAATTCGAGTCATGTACATTTCAGCCAGAGTTTCTAAAAATGTGTAATTTTAATTCTGTTTGATTTTTATCATTGTTGTTATTGGTCCTATCAGCGGGCTGTTAAAGTAACTGCTGAGATTTAAGTAAGATTATGTAGAAGTGTCGTTTCATTTCGTAAGATAAACAGCGTGATTGAAGCTTTTGTTTTCGGTGAATATCTTCTTTGGCACATCTAGCAAAGTATCTCCATCCGGTGTTTGGTAAATTGTGGCTTATATTGAGTTCCAAAATCTGCAATTTGATGGCAATTGTTCCAAGCATAACGATTTTTTTGGTTGTGTCATATATTCTTCCCCTATTTCTAAATTTTAATCTGAAGATCTCTTTGTATCTAAAATACCGTATTCCTTAATAGGTTATTATTTAAACTACTTTGCAATTTTAGTGCATTTGTTATTTCAATTTCTTTTGTAAACGTTCAGTCTTTATTGTTTATGTGATTCAATAAGATTTTGGACATGTTGGTTGGGTGTATGATAAGTTATAATTATAATTCAAGTAGTTCTACTATAACTATTCTTATATGGTAAGTTATTAAGAATCTATTTGATGTTCATCTAGTTGAAATATCCAGAACCTTTCCCGATTTTTAATTCCCAAAATTATAACCAAGAATGAAATCATATAAATCTAATTTCTAAAATGAATCCTCCTTCATTGCTAATTCTAATTGAAAGACATAAACGGTGAATTATGAATCTATTTTTCTGTAGTGTGGTTTTTTAAAATATAAACGTTCTTCATGGCAGCCTCAGTTTTAATTTGGTGATCTATGGTAAATTCTTTTTATATTTCAGGATGTGCATACTATTTTTACTTCATCTTTTGAGGTTGTTTTTTTGGTTTGAATGAGGTTTGATTTTGTTTTTTTGGTTTGAATGAAGTTATTGAGTTCATTTAGGTTTTGTTTTAAGACTTGTCTCAATCTTTAGGTTAATCTAGTAAGGTCATGCAAAATATGAACTCTCATTCTTGGATAACGTACAAAAACACGATTGTCTCAACGGTTGATCTACAACTACGGTTGTCAACACTTCTTGTTGGGCAAATAAGAGATAGTTATAACCGTCTCCACTATATATGTGTGACTCTATGTCACAACCAGGTATGTTTTTACTTATTTATGAAGTTACATCTCATTTATAACGTACAAAAACACGATCGTCTCAACGGTTGATCTATAACTACGGTTGTCAACACTTCATGTTGGGGAAATCAGAGATAGTTATAACCGTCTCCACTATATAAGTGTGACTCTATGTCACGACCAAGTATTTTTTTACTCATTTATAAAGTTACATCTCATTCACATACTAATTTGAGCGTTGGAGTGCTAACCTTTTGCAGGCACTCCCTCTGACCACTACACCGGAAGTCTTACAGCAACAGTCATCTTCAACCTTACATTGTTTCAATACAGAATATTTATAATTTTGCATCAATTATTTTATTAATGGAATTGGGTATATAGATATAATCTATGAAGCACACACATGAAACTGACTTGACACATGTTTTCATATCTAAAACCTCATGATACTAAAACCTCATGATACTACACACAAGAACAGAGAACAGCTCCAGATAGATAAATTAGATTTCAATGATTCTTTTTCTGTCTTTTATTACAAGACATGCAAGTTGAATTTTGAACATGTTTTTCTGCAGTTTGGTTTGTCTTAATAATAACCTTCTTCAAAGCATGCACAGCAGCTAGCTTTTTGATTCAGTGATTTGTATTAAATTATTTTTGTTTCCAATCCTGAGAGCATATCTTTCTTGAAGTTTGCCTTTTGATATTGTACAAGTTGTTGTTGAAGTTTGTGTTTCTTCTGGTGTTGAAGCTTTTGTGTGTTTCTATTGTTAGGGACTTATATCCTATAAAGCACCGAATCCGACCAAGATATGACATTGTCACACCGACGTCGATAATGTCAAAAACATAGTACATTGACACCACTACATATAAATGATAGTATTTAAATTTCATTTATCCATCTATTATTAAAGAGTTAAAAATCTCATAATTAAAATTATTCTTTAATTTTTCATTAATAGTATTGCTTTAATACATATTTAACTTATAAAGCACCGAATCCGACACTGACACCAAGACACAACATCTTCACTCCGACATCGATAATGTCAAAAACATAGTACATCGACACCACTACATATAAATGGTAGTATTTAAATTTCATTTAGCCATGTATTATTAAAGAATTAAAAATATCATAATTAAAATTAGTCTTTAATTTTTCATTAATAACATTGATTTAATACATATTTAACCATTTAGATGTTTTGGGGAAGCAAATTCTCTAACTTCTTATTCTCTAACTTTTCCTAACTTTAGGATTATTTCATGAGAGAGAAGTGAAAAAGAGGTGAACAAATGGAGGGAAAACATTAGAGAGAAATTGTGTTATTTTGAAGAAGAGCTAGTGAAAGGTAAGGTGCAGTTCCCTCAATAAAGTCAGAGGATCCACACTCGTGTGTTGAGTCTGGCTTTTCTTACATTTGTCTGACTTTTCAGACATTAAGTTTGTTGTTTCACAAAAACACTAATTTGTAATTGGCTGTGACATATATATTTTCATTGTTATCCTTTTATTTGGTGATCTCTACTCTGACTATGAATTCTTTATGTTTTTGTCTTTTGGAATCTAGTTTTCTTTATACAACAGATAAGAACCTAAGAACTACTACAGAGAAATCAAATATTTTTAGTGATTTGTTCTTTGTTATTTTTTTTCTTTGTTTTGATGTCAAGACATTCGAATGAACTGTGAACATGTTTTTCATTTTGCTTGCAGATTTTATCAAATTAACAACATTCATTGCAAGAGAGCCTCATGTTTTGATTTGGCCCTCTCTTGTAAATTCTTTTTGTTTAATATTTCTTGATTCTTTCTAGAGCATAAGAACTTGTTATGTATTCTTTGGGGTTGCAGGAAAGGATGTACTTTTGATTCCTTGATTCTAATGTCTGTCTTCTATTTTCTCTATTTTTTGATCTCTTCTTTACTAGGCAGTTTTTTTTTTTTTGTTTCTTGTTTCTGTCTTTTTGGGTGTTCCATCTGAGTGTTACAGGATTGCGGAAGCTGTGGAGAACAACTCAAGATAATTCCAATTTAATCCAATTTTTCAATGATCTGTTGTTTGTTATTTTTAAATTTTTGGTTTGATTTCAAGACATTCCAAATGAACTGTGAACATATCTTCTGCAGTTCGGTTTTTCAAATTAATAACCTTCATTGCATGAGATCCTCGATCTTAATTAGGGCATCTTTTGTAGATTTTTTTAGTTTATAGTTTTCTGTAGACCATATATTTTTTGATTTGTTATTTACTCTTTTAAGTTGCCGGAGAGGATATGATTTTTGATTTCTTGACTTTTTATTCTCTGGTGTTGCAGGAGGGGATGTGTTTTTGATTTCTTGATTATAAAGTTACTTGTTCTTGTACACACAATCATACACATTTGTTGACTAGACTTGTTTCTATTATTTATATTTAATTCTTCATTTAAATGCAGAATGTCTTGATACAACAACACGAACAGAAAATAACCCCCAAATAGCTAAATCAAATTTTTTCAATGGGTCTTTTTTTGCTATTTTTATTTCCGGCCTTTGATTGCAAGGCATACAAATTGATTTCTAAAAGTGTTTTTATGCAGCATGGTTGTCCAACCAATAACCTCCTTCATAGCATGGAGCTTAACATTTTGATTTTTGATTTGGTGATCTCTATCAAATTCTTTTTATTTTCAATATTTCTTTATCGATTCTCTAAGAATATCTTCTTTGATTTGGTGTTTACTCCTTGGTGTTGCAGGATCCGCACGATTTCTTCTTGTTCTATTCTCCTCTTGTTTTGATGTTCATGGCTGTTGACTTTTTGGTTTCTTGAATCTTAGGTTTAATTTGTTTTGTTAGTTTTGACCTTTTAAGTTACTGTCCACTATTATTATTATTAGGGTCTTAAATGAATGTTCTTTAACGTCAACTATTTATTCTTTGTGTACATATGGGTGTTTTGTGTTTAATTTGTTGGCATACAAATTGATTTCTAAAAGTGGTTTTATGTAGCGTAGTTGTCCAACCAATAACCTTGAGCTTAGCATTTTGATTTTTGATTTGGTGAACTCTATCAAATTCTTTTTATTTCCAATATTTCTTTATCGATTCTCAAAGAACATCTTTGATTTGGTGTTTACTCTTTGGTGTTGCAGGAAACCACACGATTTCTTCTAGTTCTATTTTCCTCTTGTTTGATCATCATGGCTGTTGATTTTTTGGTTTCTTGATTCTTAGGTTTGATTTGGTTTTTGTTAGTTTTGACCTTGGAAGTTAGTGTCTACTATTATTATTGTAAGGAAGGGTTTTAAATGATTGTTCTTTTACGTCAACTATTATTCTCTGGGTACATATGGGTGTTTTGCGTTTAATTTGTTGGCAGCACTTATTGGCAACTCCCTTGAGTTTTGGTGTGAATTTTCTGTCTAAGGTATTACAAATTGATATCAAATAATGGTAATGATTGCATTTATTGGCAACTCCCTTGTACTTTTTTTCTGTTATATTGTGTTTTGCAACAATATTGTTGTGTGTAGTATCAAGCAATATATAATCAAGTCACCAGATTTTTTTTTATAAATATACTCTTGGATGGAGAATTCTTTTCATTTCATTTCTTCTATATAGTTTTATTGCCCTGTTTTCTCGATTTACTCCTTTATGGTTTTGTTTTCTCGATTTATTCCTTTATGGTTTTGTTTTCTCGATTTACTCATTATGTTCTTGTTTTCTCGATTTACTCCTTTGCAGATTGATATCAAATAATGGTGATAATAGTTCAATCAATGATGTTAAAGATTATCATTCAGTGCTGTTAAAATTAAAAGAATATTGACATGCACTTATCTGTATTGCAGCGAATTGATTTCTAGGTATTTGGAGCAGTTTGCAATTCTTTATTACAATGGATAAGAACGATAATGGTTATAGAAAGGAGTCGTTCTTTATTAACTTTATTTTCAGAATTTGATCACAAGACATACAAAGGAGACGTTCTTTGTTATTTTCATTGAGACTTTGATCACAAGACATGCGATTTGAATTCTAAACTGGTTTTTCTGCAGCTTGCTTTATCAAAACAATTTTCAATATAGCATGGAGCCTGAGTTTTTTATTTGGTGATCTCTTTTAAAATCTTAGTTTTCAATAAATCTTTATCCCTTTTGAAAGCATATTATTGTTGATCTTTTATTTCCTCTGGTGTTGCAGGAAAGGTAGTTCTGGAGCATATTATCTTCCTGTTTTGTATTCTGATTTCTTTCTGGTGTCTTGATTTTGAGGTTTGATTTTGTTTTGGCTTTTATCGCAATACATGTGAATTGAAATATGGCTCTAATTTAGGATGTGTAGTATTCAAGCCTCGAGTTTATATTGGTATTCCTTTGTGATTTCAATTGGATGTTTTATTTTTTTATTAGTCTATTGATGTTTAATTGAAAAGTTCAGTCTTAACGGTTCTTGACATTGATTCTACTTTTTTCTTACAAATGTTTGTTTACATTTGGGTTTCTGTATTTAGAAAGCGCAAAAGCTTACTTAATTTTTGAGACACTCGGACAAATTTGCCGGCCTCTCTCTGTTATGCTGATCTTCAACTTGGTTTGGAGAATCATATAATATTCTTTCTTTCTTCTTGGTTCTTTTTCTACAACCTAGAGGTCGGTTTAATTTTGACAACTTGGTTAAGTATGTTTTGCGATATGTTCCCTGGGGTCTGCTGTTATTTCTGATTTATGATGCAGGCCCAATAGCTCATTTGGTATTAGATGGAAGCTCAAACTGTCATGTTTCATATTGGGTGTACTTGCAAATAGCTCATTTCTAATAAGAAAGACAATTAACATTTCAGTGTGTTTGATACTCGGCAATTTTGTATTCCTTTGAATTTTGTGCGAGTCTTATGGGGAGACAGAGACAACCTATGAAAGTCTGGTGTGTTGCGGCCTGTGGCAGCGTTGGGACACATCCCTTCTTTTTTCCAATATATATGTTTTTTAGATGGTGTGTTCCGGGAGTTTTTGTATTTTTGTAGCAGAATCATAATATTGAAGCATACAAGATTCTAGATTAGAGTACATCTTTCTGCCCGAGCCAAGGAATTCTTGACAATTTGGTTTGGATCACTTTTTTTTCTGTTAGCCACTTCCTTTGTTATGATAACTTTACTACATTCTTTTCATTTGTGTTATATATAAGAATAATCATTTGTGTTATATATAAGAATAAGAATAATCACAAATGAATATTTTTCGAAGTAGGGAAGCCCAAATTTTTTCCCTTTCACATGGAGCACCAATCTGCAATTGGCTTTGATAATATATTATCACAGTTCTTATGTTTTTATCTGGTGTTCTATACTCAGAATATGGATTCTTCTCTTTTCTGTTTATCTTGGGATTTTAGTTTTCTTGATTCCTTAAATGCTATGTGGGTGTCAGAGAGTATATAGACTGTGAATGGTGAGATTATCAAGGACATGCTTTGACCCTAAGGATAAAACATGCAATTTTTTCCTTAAATGTACTTGCTATGGATTGAAGTTATGTTTTTATGGTGTAATGTGGTAATGTTGGTGGTTTCTGTGATTGTAGGAGAAAATTTGACCATGTGATTTCTTCGGGATCTATCTTCCTCAGTTTGTGAATTCATTCTTATTTTGTCATCTTCGATATATCAGTTCTCATTTGGCTTACCAGTAACTCTACTATGAAACAACAACTGCTATACTGTTTTTTTTTTGCTAAAGTAGTTCCACTTTATTTGAACTTGTGTTTCGCAAAACTTTGGACATTCGCATGTCATATGATTCCCCCTACATCAATGTATGATGAAGACTATCTTCGCAGAAATATTTGAGTTTGATGCAATGGATGAGCCTCCATCTGTGTTGGAAGTGGAAGTTTGTGATTTTGACGGACCCTTTGGCGAACCTCAATCTCTAGGACATGCGGAAATCAACTTCCTTAAAACAAACATATCAGATCTTGCTGATTTATGGGTGTCTCTTGAAGGAAAGTTAGCTCTAGCATGCCACACTAAAGTGCACTTAAGAATTTTCTTGGACAACACTAGAGGTGGGAATGTCGTAAAACACTATATAAGTAAAATGGAGAAAGAAGTGGGGAAGAAGGTATGGATCCGTTTGTGTTATCAGTTGTTTGGTAGTTTTTCTTCGTATATTATCGGTAGATCACTTTTCTTTGGCTTATTTTTCTTCATATATTTACAAAATTGTAGATTAGTTTGCGATCTCCTCAAACAAATTCAGCCTTTCAGAAACTCTTTGGACTTCCACCCGAGGAATTTCTCATCAATGATTTCACCTGTCATTTGAAAATAAAAATGCCCCTACAGGTTTAAGTATTACGTTCTGTGATTTCGAAAGTGGTCGAATTTTATTTTGGCACATGTTTCTTTATTAATATTATCTCATCAAGTTGCCTATGAATCTCGGCAGGGTCGTATATTTGTTTCAGCAAGAATAATGGGATTTCATGCAAATTTGTTTAGACACAAGACAAAATTCTTTTTGCTTTGAGAAGACATAGAAGACATACAGGTCGTTCCTCCTACATTTTCATCAATGGGCAGTCCTATAATTGTCGTAACTCTTCGTCCAGGGAGAGGCGTGGATGCAAAACACGGTGCAAAAACGCAAGATGAACAAGGCAGACTCAAGTTCCATTTCCAATCTTTTTGTGTCTTTCAATGTCGCCAATAGGTATATGTTATGTCAAACTTTAGAGTTTTAAACATAGAACACAACGTCGAATCTAAAAATATATTCTTCTGCTAATGTAGGACTATCATGGCACTCTGGAAGGCCAGATCTTTGAGTATTGAACAAAAGGTCCAATTAGTTGAAGACGATCCTGAAAACGAAAGTGTTACTAGCGAAGAGAGTGTAACATTAATTGGCAGCGGTGACGTTAGTATGTCTGAAGTTCAATGTTGTTCTCTTCAAGTTCCTGTAATCTCTCTATCTTTCTCTCTCGTTCCATTTTCTATTTATCGTACACATCACCGAAATCTGCATTTGGTTATTATTTTAATTTTCTTTGATTAATCTAGGTCATTTGAAACTAACTATATTATCAGTGCATTCTTCCGAAAGTATTTCCTGCAACATAAATCTGAGAAAATGGGCAGTTGTCTTTCATTCTAAAGTTGAAATTCACTACAATCATTTTCTCTACATGTTTATTGATTTCATTTAATTTGTTCGACTATGAGCATTAGTGTCTTCATAGCTTTATTCATTAGCTTTGATGAGTCCATCTTTGTTAATGCTCTAGATTAATATTTTGGAATTAGTTAGGCTTCTTGTGACGTATCTAAATGCACTTGGAGTTTGGATTATTCCTACATCTCATGTTTATTTCAGTTTACATTCTCTTATGTTTTGGAATTAATTTTATTAATATTAATATTAATGAAATGACTACAAATTCTTTTTAGATTTGATTATGTTTTTAACGTTGTCGTTATTAATATCTCCGTTTAACTCGTTTGAGGAGTGCTTCCTATAACCATGCCATTTTGAAGAATAATTTTCTAACTTTGGTATTATACTATTTAATTTTAAATAGTATGGCAAGTGTGTAAAAAAATCTCCGATATTTTTGTTTTTAGAAAAAATATTTGTACCATAATTTAAGTTATTTTGTATTACTATTCAGTGGAGGTGAGTTGGACTGTAGGATCATGGAAAAATCTGGTTGTGCTAGTTATTCTTATACCCCTTGGGTATCCGAGGACAACAATGTCTATGAAAGGGCGGTATATTACAAATTTGAAAAACGTATTTCACGTTATAAAGTCGAAGTAACAACTACTCAACAAAAATCTCTTTTGGACGGAAATGGTTGGCTTTTGGAAGCGCAAAAGTTTACATAATATTTGAGACATTTGGAAAAATTGGTGGACCTCTCTGTTATGCTGATCTGCAACTTGGTTTGGAGATTTATGCTATATTCTTTCTTTCTTCTTGGTTCTTTTTCTACAACCTATCTGTAAGTTTAATTTTTCTGTACATTTATTGTCTGTTGCTGACAGTAAGTTTGCTGTACGACAAAAGTTTTCTTAATTCTGAATCATATTCCCACCATTTTAGTTGGTCTATAGAAGAAAAATTGGAGATAAGTGTATCTGCTTCTTTGTATAAATTATCTCCGGTGAAAGAGTAATTAAGGATACATAACGTTTTCTGATCACTGGGGTCTGTTGTTATTTCTAATTTATGATGTAGGCCCAATAGCTCCTTTGGTATTATGTGGAAGCTCTAACTGTCATGTTTCAAATTGGGTACAATACAAGTACTAGCAAAAATTGGCTGGAAGTTTGTGTCCGGGAACTTCTTCAGAGGTTGTGTTGCATTCTTTAATTTGGTCATTTCTACTAAGAAACACAATTAACATTTCAGTGTGTTTGATAATCGGCAATTTTGAATTCATTTGAATTTTACGCGAGTCTTATAGGGGAGTCTTACTTAGTTTAATCCCTTTTGCAAATACTCCTCAAAGTTTCTGTCTTTTTCATTCACTATTTAATCATTATAAATTTTTATGTTCAATTTTAAAATGGGGTTTTTGTTTTTTTTCTTTTCAATTTGGCATTATATTGATGATTTAATGTAACTGCATGTGTGCTTTTTTACTGTGATTTGTATTATTTCTTTTGCATGTTGAGGGTTTGTGCCTATGTAGCATTTACATTTCTAATTGAGGGTGTTTGTTGGGTTTAACACATGTTGGTGTCAATGAAGCACCAACGAACTCACTCTGTAGCACTAACACCTCTGAAAAAATGTGTGTCAGGGTTGTCTAAAACTGACACCGACTCTAGTGATTATGTTTAATTTATTCCTTTTTTTTTAATTATTATCTGTGGCATGTATCAGTGTTGATGCCGTATTTCTGGTGTTTATGCTTCATAGCCAACAAGACTGATAGGTCGACACTAACAAGTTAAACACCTTTAATTTGGCACTACATATGCCAAGCATTGACACGATGATACGACATTGACACGACCAAAACATTCAATCATTTTTATTTTCTCAAATTATTATCATTGTCTACTCGTCAATACTGTGTCCATTGGTCGTGTTTTGCTTTAATTCTTCATAAGTGTGTACTATAATTGAATGAACTTCTGTTGTGCTTTGGGTTGTAATTCAGGTGTTAGACAACTTCCCCATAACTTTGGTCTTAAAGCATCTAGGTTGTTGAGGCATGATAGTAGATGTATGAGATTGATGTCATCTGGGAGTATGTCTCCATATGCAACGCAGGAAAATGCATTAGATTGGGTGAAGCAGGACAAGAGAAGAATGCTTCATGTCGTGTATCGTGTCGGGGACTTGGATAAGAGCATAAAGTATGTTATACCGATATGTGAAACAAATTATTTGCAAATTTATTTATTTGTACGGTAACCGTGCTCATGGTAAAATGAAAAAACTTGTTTGTGATTTCAGATTTTATACAGAGTGTCTAGGAATGAAGGTGCTCAGAAAACGTGACATGACAGAGGAGAGATATACTAATGCTTTTCTTGGATATGGGCCTGAGGATGCACACTTTGCTATTGAACTAACATACAGTGAGAGTCTGACTAGCTTGTTGATATTCTTTATGATTACAGAAATTTGCATTTTGTGAAGTTAGTTTACAACCTATGAAAGTGCTGCGGCCTGTGGCCAGAGGCAACAAAGGTTAACATACTATTCTTGTAACATTGGGATACCATCCTTCTTTTTTATGATATCTGTATTTTGTTTGATTCTGTGCTATGAGAGTGTTGGAGTTTTTGTATTTTTGTAGCAGAAGCATAATATTGAAGCATACAAGATTCTAGACTAGAGTACATCTTTCTGCCCGAGCCAATGAATACTTGACAACTTGGTAGGGTTCACTTTTTTTCTGATTGTTACCACTCTCCCAAATGGATATTTGTCGAAGTGGGTAAGTCTAAATTTTTTCTGTTTCACATGGAGCACCAATCTGCAATTGGTTGTGGCATATATTATCAGTTATTATGTTTTTATCTGGTGATCTATATTCTGAATCTGAACTCTTCTCTTTTCTATATCTTGGGATTCTAGTTTTCTTGATTCCTTAAATTCCATGTGGGTGTCACAGGGAGTATATGAACTGCGAAAGCGAGATTATCAAGGACATTCTTTGAGCCTTAGGATAAAACAGGCCATTTTATGGATTTAATTTACTTGTTATGGGTTGCAATATTTTGTGTTTTGATGGTGTGATGTGGCAATGTTGATTTCTGTGTTTGTAGGAGAATTTTGACCACGTGATTTCTTTGGGATCTATCTTCCATTGTTTGTTCGTTCATGTTATTGATTTCCTGAATACAATATGAAGTCATTTTCCTTGCGGGTTTCAATTTTAGAATTTGTTCTTATTTTATCACCTTCAGTATATCAGTTTTCATTAGGCTTGCCAATAACTCTACCCTGAAACAGAAGCTGGTATGCTGTTTTCTTGGCTAAAGTAGTCCCAATTTGGACATTTTCATGTCATAAGATTCAAAATTCAATTTGTGAAAATCTCTAAAAGCTATCATGTGCATGCAGTGTAGTTTCAAAACATGAGCAACCCTAAGTCTTAAGTCTTCTCAGGATCTGGTGAGGATTTGTTCATCTAGGTTTGTTGGAATTATTAGGATTTGTGGATGTCTATGTATTAAATCAAAATATTATCTTTGATTGCTTAATTAGCATGAGGGAAAAGATTTCTCAATCTCAAATGATCAGACTTCTTAGTCATCGGCAAGTCCAAAAATATTGAAAACTGGTCCCGTAGGAGTTATTGGACATGTGAGTTTGTGACACTTAATTTCTTTCTAAATTCATCATTGAAATATTTTGTATTTCGTTATCAGGATTTTCATCAGGCTTATTGTGTTGAAGCAATTAATTTCTTTGTAGCATCAAGCCTTGGTTTGTTAATGTGGTGACAATGACAATTCATGTAGGCTAGCTGTATATATTTGTTCCACAAAAGCCCCCCTTGATTTCACGCACACATTGGTGTGAACAGAATTGTGGAGTATATCTCTTCTCGCTTACTCCATCTAGTGTTTTTCTTGTACTCTTTTACTGTTTGTTTCTGTTATTTATGATGTATAGGAATAGGAATTCGTTTCCTCGAGGGATTTCACTGGGCATCAAAATTCATTATTGGAACCATCAGCTTCTACGGACTGTAAGATATTTTCTAAGGAATTCGAGTCATGTACATTTCAGTCACTGTTTCTAAGAATGTGCAATTTTTATCATCGGTGTTATAGATCCTATTTGTGGGCCGTTAAAGTTGCTGCAAGGCATTTTTTCTACTGGTGCACTTTTTCAGTCATCTTTTGATTGTCTGACATGGTAGGATTAAGTAAGCAAGACTTTTTAGAAAACTCATTTTATTTCGTAAGATGAACAACATAGTTGAGGCTTTTGTTTTCGATGAATATCTTTTTTGGCACATTTGGCAAAGTATCTCCATCTGGTGTTTCGTAAATTGTGGC